ACACACAAACATTTCTTCGTTTATGTGTGTTCTCAGTACCAAGTTAATTGGTATTTCTCAACTATATTAATTCGGATTTTACACAACTTGAATTTGGTTGATGTAGTTTAGAAGAAATATTTGGTTTGTTTTCTAAACTAATTTGGTTGATGTTATATCTTCCGCTGCTAGAAAGGGTGCTTTTGAGTTGTTTGGTAGAAATCTCTGGATCGACGGTTGGGGTAATATTATGCCTCAGAAACACAAGAAGAAGAGCTTATGGATCAAGACGGAAAACCGCATCTTTCGTGATAATTTATTTTTTTAAATTGGTGACAATTTAGCTAAAAAATAATATAGATTATGTCACTAAAAAGTAAATTGTTCTAAAGTTTTATAAGAATGTCATATCAGCTTTTCGTGGTCGCGCCCACAACCGATCTGCTTTTATATTACCCTTTGCTTTTGCTTCAAATGATTTGCTTTTAACTCCAAAATGCTGGCCGCAACCGATTTGCTTTTATATTACGCTTTGCTTTTGCTTCAAATGATTTGCTTTTAACTCCAAAATGCTTTATTTTTCATAAGATTTTGCTTCTTTTTAACACGGAAATGCTTGAGAGAATCAAACAAACCTTCCAAATGCATAATATCAAACTCAAACCGGTATAATCGTAATTCTTAAACTTAGAGTGAATTATGGTTTAGTTACTTTAGTAGAAAGCAGAAACAAAACGACGCGGTTAAGACTTGAAAGTATAATAATTAAAGATGTACTCAAACTTCTAATTAAATAAAGTCACAAGCATAATAAGACCCTCAAGTTCTGCACTGATACAGAGTTTGATCTCACAATAACCAAAGTTAGCTTATGCGTTCATACAAAACATGGTTTACCCCGGTTTTGTTAAAATTACTTCCTTTGTTTCCTCCGTTCAGAGTATCCCACTGACCCAAAAAAAAAACTGAGGGCCTTATTTTCTTTTCCTCTCCATTCTCTTCTCATGCTCTGTTCATTAACCTCTTGGACCCTGAAACATAACAAACATGTGAAAGTGAGATGCATTGTTGAAGATTACTCAGTCCAATGTAAGAGAATCAGCAAATGCTACTAAAATCTCGTGCTGGTTACTCACTCCTTCATCGCTTAACGTTCCTGCAGAATCAAATGGTTTCATCCGATAATCATCATTGTAGTAATCCTGAGAATGTGAAGTCCATAACTCACATCAAATCAATGTATACCAAGAAATCAATAAGCATTTATAATCATTTTAATGTGTAAGAAACTTCTTAGCATAAGATTTTGAAACTCTACATACCCATGTGAGTTCCTCCATTGCCTCGATGTCTCTGGTTGTGAAGAAGAATGCAAGCTGAAGAAGATTTGCAGTTATCTAATTGATCCAGATGAAACATATGAACAAGGGATTGTAAAATGAGACCACCATTGAATCATACATGATAATAGTGCTGATCCGGAGTCTCAACATGAACTGGGATCTCGATCAAGTTTACATCTAGGCATCTGAAAACAGAATAAAATTATCAGTTTAGATAGAGAAAAACTCAACTGTGTTCTGAGTATTATTGTAAGCCTTTACCTGTGGTTAAGGAACCGTGAGATATTCCCATGACGTGTCCCGTCAAGACACAGAGCTTTGTTATCCTCAAAACATTCTTGAGGACCCCATCCAGTATCACAGGAGAAGTGAGTTTATCTTCAAAGCTACGTTGGTATAACTTGGGAATCGTCACTATCTCTCCAGTGTACTCACAAACAAATGCCCCTTCAGGCGATCTCTCCAAAGTCCTTAGGCCCCAACCTTTCCCATTTGGCGTGAAAAACTCGTGACATAAGAACAAAAGATCGATAAAGAAAATCGAAACTAGTTGATTTCTACTTTTTATAATAAGATGAATGAGAACCCCAGAAAAATGAGTTGGTTAAGGTAAATGTTTTACCTGTAATTTCTTGTGTATACCTCTCGATTACCGCATCTCGTAGGGCATCCACATTTGATGCAACGCTCTTTTAATGGCTTTCCTCTTAAGATGCCCTTTACATGGTTCCAAAATCTCTTATTTTTTACAGAACTGCAGCACCTGTTTCCGTTGATCGCGGGCCTCAGAGATCCGCTCCTCCACGACGTCCTCCTTCAATACGCCATCTACTGTATACGCAAACCCTTTCTGAAACCAAGCAATCTTCGAGACAAGAAGAGAGGGAGAATTTCACAGCAGCATCTTGAAACACAAAGTTCTGAGGTATGTACGGGAACGCAAAGGAACATCGTCGTTGATCTCATTCACCCTCGGAATCTCAATGTTTTCTTCACCAACCGTGATGTCATTCATGTTGCTAACTGCTCTCCAGCCCTCTGCAGAGATCTCACATTCAGGAACAACTACCAACCCCATGGAAATGTCAGCTGCACCGCTCTCATCACCCACCTTACTCATATCAGAGACTCAAGTGATTGGTTGGTTGAGTTCCTTGCCAGGTATATGTAACACCTACACATGTCCTCCATGAAGGCAGGGACAGAAACCAGGGTGTACAATTTTGTATGAATTGAGGCATTTTTCCTCCATTGCTCGCTCTTCGAAGATCTTCCATGGAAGGGTAAAGGCAAACACGTTTCACCAGTTGCAGGCGCAAAAGTCAGACTAATCTTCGCCTAACCTGAAGTCGCAGAAGCTAATTCAAGTGCAGCAGCAGCAACTTTGTGCTCGCTAGATTCTTCAACAGCTGAAGGAGGAACACCAATGGAAGTAGTATCATTGAGAGTACCTTCTGGTTCCCCGTTCCGTTCCTCCACAAACATATTTGATTTCTCCATCTCAAGCATAGGAGCTGAACAGTTCCCTAAATCGAAGTAATGTGAAGAAACGTCAAGACAAAGATTAAGTTTAATGCAAAAGGCTTCAACATCTCATCACCACATCCACATAAAGCGATACAAGATCTTGCTTTGAAGAAAGAATACCTGGAATCATAGGCTCATGCTCGGTAAATTGCTCCTCCTTGATGATAACAAGTGCACCAGCATCAGAATCATTTCCAGTTTGTACAATATATCTAAAACAAGCCGACCCGCAGAACCAATATCATCAAATTTGAACTCCAGGCTTAACAAATTATCAAACAAATGTCGTAGCGACAAAGTATATGAGCCGGTACCTGACCAGTATGCTCCTTGAACTTCTTCAACTCATCCTGCATACCGTTAATTTCGTAAACGCAAGACATGATCACAAACCTGTATGCATCCGCAATGACCTCTACTTTCGCCATTAGCTCGATAAGTTCTTGTCCTTTGAGAGAGTAACCAAATCTCACACAAGAACCAAGTAGAAGATTAAACAAGACCGTATCAGGCTTCACAACATTCCTGGGGCTATTTCTGTTGGACACAAAACGATCACAGACCTGAAACAGATAATTCGAAGCTAGACAAGTCCCGACCTCAGTTTTCACCATATGCATCACAACAAGCCTCAATACATCTAAAGTTAAGAAAGATCCCTGAGCTCTATCTAAAGACAATGACAACTTAGTTAAAGCATCAACAGTTACCAAACCCGAATTCTGCTTCAAAGCCAAACGAGTCAGCTCACTAGCCTTGCTAAGCCAAATTAAACTTTACACGTTATGGAAAATATAAAGCTTACACACACGGCCTTAGTTCATATACTGAAAGATTAGATGAAAAGACCATGAAAACTTGACAAAAAGCAACYAGAGTTTGTTATCAAATTATCATATGGCAAATCAAGAAACAACGTGACTGAGGATATGAAACAAGTTACCAACACTTGAAGAGCATGATTGTTATTCTAATTTTAGAATTAGAATTTGCTTAAGTACATAAATAGATAAGTAGAACTTGGATTAGTACATAAATAGATCCGTGATCACTCCTTAAACAGAAACAGAGGATCAATACCTAAACATCCTTAAACTGATAACAAAACAAAACAAACCGACATCCCTAAACATAAGATCGATCAATCCTAAACAGCAAATCAAAGACATTGATATGTTGGGGCTTTTCCATCTCTCAAATTCTTCCAAAAGAACGTGTAATGAGCCTCGTTGCGAAAGTCATCTCCGGAATCCTCGGCTTGTGCTAACAGGACCACAAACCCATGTTCCCTCAAGAATTTCAGTGCCGGGATGAAGTCGGAATCAGCAGAAATGAGGAGAATTATTCCTGGAGATTCGCGTTCGATCACATCTCCCAGAACCTGCTCTTGTACTCCAGTGAAAACCTCAGGATTCTGTTTTGCACTATGACCCGCCATCTTACAGAGTTTCTTTTGGCAATGAAAAAACCTATCATCACACTGAAGGAAAGAAAAAAATGACTCGACAGTATCAAATTCTTCGTCTGTACCGAGAAAATGCTTCCGATCTCCGGAAGCAAACAGCAAACATTTTGGGTTCAACCTCGAGGTTTGGACTGATTTGACGAAGACCTTGGTTGATTGAATCGCGCAGATTCTTAGCATCGTACGTGTAGTTGTTGTGGGCGTCGTGTAGAGGAGTGGTGTTTAAGTCCCACACCACTCGAACCGTCTTCTGCCTCTGCTCATGAGTTGGCATCTTTCTCTCTTTCGACGACTGGTAAGCATCCGGCCGCTTGATTGCACCCAGTGGTGTGAACTGTGGTGGCCTTTCTTTTCTTGGTGGCATTTTGACGGAGAGGATTGAGAAAAATCAGAACAAAGGAGAACAGAAGGGAAAAATCGAGACAGAAGGAAATGGCGAAATCGAGAACGAAGGAAATTAGGGTTACTTGCATATGGACAGGTTTGTTCGGGTCATAGTTGGGCTCTAATTCATTTGGCTTGGGCTTTATTGGCCCGTTTCTTCCCATTACAATCCAAGTTGACCCATGTCTTTTACGTTTAGAAGAATATCCAAAATTGATTCAAATATTATTCAAATTGCCATTATCTTATTACTAAATTGATTAAATTGAAAAAAATAATTTTGGATAGATTCAATGACAATTTCAGTAATTTTTATATCAATTTCGGACATTTTGAATGACATTTTCGTTTTTTATGGCACATTAATGGTATTTTATTATTTTAGGAAAGTTTTGTAACTGCATACAAAAAAAATGATAAAAAAAATATAATCAATTTTTAAGAATTCTATCCCCCAT